CTTTGACCCATTCATACTTACAATTTTCCTTTCACCATAACAACGCTTTTACTCCTTGCTGTCACACCACAATCACCAAAATACCACATTTTCTCTATGAAAAACCCTAACATGAAATTTTTATTTACACAATTATCGAGGGATGGAGGGAAAAATCATAAACCCAATGATTAAATACAATGAAAAATATGTTTGTAAAAGAAACTAAACAAAACAATATTAGGAGTAGGACCCTTCCCGAAAATGTGGCAGAAATCTCGATTAACTGGGTTGAAAGAAATCCAGAGAAAAGAGACATCTGTCACCTAAAAAATTGGGTGGGGTGGGTGACCCTAGGTATCTTATCAATATTTGCTTTTTTATTTTTTTTTTTTCTACAGTGTAACCCGGATATAAGAGAGTTGTCGGGACCGGAGAAGTCTCTTATATCCGGGTTTGGTCTATTTTGTTTACATTAACACAGGCTCTAATTTGGGACCAGAAAAGAATATATATTTTCTCTTATATCCGGGTTTGGTTTATTTATATATATCTCGGGTTTTTTCTTATATCCGGGTTTGGTCTATTTTATATGTTTACATTAACATAGGTTTCTTAATTTGGGACCAGAAAAAACTCTCTTATATTCCAGATTTTTATATCTTATATCCGGTTTGGTCTATTTTATATACATTAACACAGGCTCTAATTTGGGACCAGAGAAAATCTCTCTTATATCCGGGTTTCTCTTATATCCGGGTTTTGTCTATTTTGTTTACATTAACACAGGCTCTAATTTGGGACCAGATAAAATCTCTCTTATATCCGGGTTTTTCTCTTATATCCGGGTTTGGTCTATTTTATTTACATTAACACAGGCTCTAATTTTGGGACCAGATAAAATCGGGTTTCTCTTATATCCGGTTTCTCTTATTTTGTTTTCTCTTCTAATTTATCCGGGTTTCTTATATCCGGGTTTCTTATATCCGGGTTTCTCTTATATCCGGGGTTAAACTGTACCTTCATTTAAATACATGTTGCACATTAAACCAAGCACAATGGTTTATTAAAGGATGACACATTTTCGCGGATTCTGACGTCATTCATTTTTTCCGTCCAAAGACGCGAATTTTTTTTTTTTTTTATTCATAGTGTTGAATATGGTAAAATTATTCAACATTTTAACAAGATAAATCTAAAATTGCCACAAATTTTTGCTGATTTATTTAAAGCCGGAATGATATATGATGACATATCTCTAATTTGTATTTACATACATTGTATTAATTTTCAATTTCTGCAGTTGAATTCTTCACCTATATTGCATATGATCCATTACTGTACATAATTAGGTTACAATAACATTTGTATTTTCTTATATGTGTTGTTCTTCTCCTAAGTATTATCGTTCATCACCAGCCCTTGGTTGAATATTTTATTCAGTAACCTTACCAAGTTTTAAAACATTTAGTGATATAAAAGTCTCTATGAGAACAAAGCATGTTTGTCCTTCTTGTTCCTTTCAGCCATTCTGTTCCATCTGTGAAATACGGTGTCATTATATAATGGATTTAATAATGCTCATAATGGGGGAAATACAAACAGGAGAATTAAACCTTCTTCCATAGCAACCTCCCGTGCAACGTAATGTTTTATTCGTGAATAAAACCAACATATATAGAAACATAGATTTGATTAACGCAATAACCAATATGTATAAGTTATTTTAAATGTTACATGGGCTCGTTTACTTTCTACATCCTTCATCAATTTTTTAACCATTGAATTTATTAACTTTCGTACAGTTTCGATTTTAACATTAAATAATGTTTTCCAATCTCACATTATTTTAAAAAATCATTTCATTCAAAGTAAGGTGATAAAGCCACTAATAAGGAAGGTTTTTTTTTTTACAGTGATGCTGACTTTATAAAAGGCCATGGGGCAACTCGACGTAGATGGTTACAGATTAACAGGTACAGCATTTATCTGGATATGTGCAAAACATAACGGTTAACCCTAGACTTGAACAGGTTAAGCTTGTAGCAACCGGGGGGGGGGCACATAGTCATCTTTTCGGATACTGAAGGAACAGAATCCTACATGAATATATTCTTTAGCTTAAAGTCTTTTGACTTACAGCCACAACACATTGAGACGGCCTTTCCCGTACGATAACCGGTTAAGCAACGTCGAGCCTAAATGGGTGAGAGTTTGGGAATAACAGGTGCTCTAAGCTTTGATGTTTCAACGTTATATGACTTACAGCCACATAACGTTGAAACATCGATCACCGAAGTTAAGCAACGTCGGGCCGGTCAGTACCTAAACGGGTGACCATTTGGGAATACTAGGTGCTGTAAGATTGGATGTGAGGGTGGTATGTCTTACGGCCACATAACACCTGGTCCCGTACGATCACCGAAGTTAAGCAACGACGAGCCCGGTTAGCACGTAAATGGGTGACCATTTGGGAATACTAGGTGCTGTAAGATTGGATGTGACGGTGGTGTGTCTTACGGCCACATAACACCTGGTCCCGTACGATCACCGAAGTTAAGCAACGGCGAGCCCGGTCAGGACCTAAATGGGTGACCATTTGGAAATACTAGGTGCTGTAAGATTGGATGTGAGGGTGGTATGTCTTACGGCCACATAACACCTGATCCCGTACGATCACCGAAGTTAAGCAACGGCGAGCCTGGTCAGTACCTAAATGGGTGAACGCTTACCACATTCTGAAAGCTTGGATGTGCGGGTGGTGTTATGAATAATGGCTCAAAATTGTATGAGAGAGAGAGCCCAGTTCCAATTCCCTTTGGGTTCGTTATATTCACTCACCTGCAAATACTCCTGGGAAATATCTGACCCAACTCTTATCCCCCAGCTTCCCTTCCTTCTCTTAGGCCTTAATAATGGTGCTGACATGTTTTTTTTTTTATATGGGTCCCAGCTATGGATAAAATAATAAATGATTTTTTCTGGATCACTCTGACCCGGAGTGATAGTAACTGTTTTAATGGGTCCCAGCTATGGATAAAATAATAAATGATTTTTTCTGGATCACTCTGACCCGGAGTGATAGTAACTGTTTTAATGGGTCCCAGCTATGGATAAAATAACAATTTTTCACTTCTAAATGATTCTGAAGATCACTCTAACCCGTGTTGTGATCGCAATCTAAACTTATGATATTGTTGTTCATGTTTATTAACCCGAAGTATTTAACTGTGAACAAAGTGATATGACTAATTTTTGTGAATATTAATTTTCAAGAAAATATAAAAAAAATATATAAAAATAAAATTTGAAATACTAAAGTATTTGTTACATATTAATACTACCTTTTAAAAAAAAAGAAAAAGAAAAAAATATTATTTTTAGAATTAAAGTATTTATTAACTTTACTAATATTTTGAACGAAGATTCCATATATACCCAAAATAAGGGGGGCTGTTACGGTTTTTTGGGTATATACCGCCTATAACTAGTGAGCGAGTCAGAATGACTTATTTCCCTTTGTAGTCGACCAGTGGAAGGTTGACCAATCAGAAGCCGCCCAACACTGTATTCGTCGTGTATAAAGGCGGCCATCTTGTTTCCTCTACCGGAAGGACCAAAGGCGACCAGGAGAGGGATGAACTACACTCTGCTGTGATATCCACTGCGAACCTAAAGTACTCTTTCTTACTGTCTCCGAAATATTCACTGCCAACCTCTAGATTCTATACTCGAGGACGACCGTCATGAAAATGTCTAACATATGGATGGTAGCAACGTCTCTCCATACTGAAGATACTGGGTTGGTAGCTTTCTGGTTGCTACTCCCGAATGGAATTTAGCAGCCCGAACTCTTGCGTAGAGTCTTAAGAGTTTGCTCTGATCAACAGTCGCATAATATCGGGGTTCTTGCAGTACCATGTCACGCATAAAGTGTGTCCTTGCACGCATCTCCAATGGGCAAATCCGTGACCACACTATGTTGCAGTCTGCGCATTAGACGACCGAATGCTACTTGTACCCTAGGTATTTCCGTGCCCAAATAATACACCATGACGATAAACAACCAAAGATATAAACTAATGTGGTCTTTTTAGAGCCAGAAATAAAGACACAAGCGAAGAATTGAGTTAAACAAATATATTAACAGAAAACAGTGATAAAAACATATACAAACGAGAGTGTTACAGCAAGAATGTTCGGTCCGACTGCCAGAGCTGACTGCTGGAAACATCTCTCTCCAAAAGGCAGTACCTGCTCCTATTTATAGCTGGGAGAGTCCATGCGTGCATGGGTAAATTACTATAACATAAACCTAAACCAGTTCAACAAAAAAAAAAAAAACACCTAAACTTCTCAACCTTTCTTTCTCCAACGTTTGTGGTATTTGTACCAACTTCTGCAATGTGGAATCGTTCCTCATCGAAAACTCTCCGGATATCCCTGGTTTCTGCGAAACTAATCTTAAACTTTCAATCCTCTCCTGTCTGTAACCCCATACCCTAACATTGACTTTCCAGCCTTACTTGAGGTGCAATCATCATGTAGCGATTTTGACATGTTTTCGATGTAATATTCTAAAATAAAGAATATTGCTCTACTTTGTATTGAGCCCTCTTTTAAATTAAATTGTACTAACGTTGGAATTGTACTCTATTCGTTCTCATCTTACCTGTATATATATATATATATATATATATATATATATATATATATATATATAAAAAAAACCATTCTTTATGAAAACCCACATGTAAGTAAAACATACATGCATTATAAATATTACAAATAAATTTATAAAAAAAACATTAGGTGTATTTCCAAATCTTATTATTCTCTCTCTCTCCTATCTCGCACACACACACACGTTTATATATATATATATATATATATATATATATATATATATATATATATATATATATATATACATTAGATTAAAAAAAAATTGGAAATATACACATTTAAATACGGAACTGTCAAAGAATGGTTGGCACCAAGAAACTTCGGAGTCTGGGATAGAATAGAAATAGAAAGGATTTGATATTTTATATTTAATTTATATATATATATATATATATATATATATATATATATATATATATATATATATATAAAATACGTAAGTGGAAAGGATAATTAGTTGTTTTTTTAATATAAAATGTTAAAAAAATAGATCCGTAGGGAGCTTAATGTATGGCATACAGCTATATATATATATATATATATATATATATATATATATATATATATATATATATATATATATTAGATCTGTTAATAAGGCTGTAGCTTAATGTTTAATAAAATTTTATTTCACACTATTCTTTTTTTTTTTTTGCTATAATTTCCTTTTTTGTCAATGTATCTAATTTAGTTGTGAATATGAATTTCATCATAGGTTGAATATCATACCTTGATAATTTTAGATCAGAAATTAATTAATAACTATATATCTATAGCTATATAGCGAGACTCTTCGCAGATGCGAATTGAGTCACTGTCGGTCACTGGGCGTGTTTCTAAAAATAAATACGCTAAAAAATTCACTTTCACGCTGATGAGCTGTGAAACAGCGAAACAGTCTGTCTGTGGATGACGTTATATATATATATATATATATATATAGGAATCCCTTGATCATTGCGGGTTATGTGAACATTGGTAATTGTAAAAAAAAAATTGTAAAAAATCAATTTTCAATTCCTATGGTTAAACTGAAGAATGTTTTACCTCATTAATCGAGTATTATGTATGCACTAATCGAATCTTGGTATATGAAACGCATGGATCGAGTGCGCATTAATCGAGGGATTACACTATATATAACGAGGTAGTATTTGACGAAATTAAAAAGGTTGAGCTTTAAGATAAAAGCAGAATCCGGCGCGACGCTGCCAAAAATGCGCCATGCCCCGAAACCCAGCCGGTGACCCCCGAAATGACGTCCGCGAAGGCCTGTGATTAATTCCAAAAAAAAACTTCGCTTGAAGATGGAACAGAGCTTGGTACTTTAATTCAATTTAATTCAAATAATTATATTGAAGTTTTCGGCTCTTGTTTTGAAACATGAGAACTCTTATGTAGCGATGGAATCATATTTTTAAATAAACTATTATATTTAAACTCTACTTTTGTATCGAGCACTATTTTTTAAAAATAATAATGTAAATTACCGTTATACTAAAGGATTTTTTCCCATGTCGACAATATAGTTAAATATAGTTACATTAAAAATCCAAATTTAAAAAGAAAAATTTAAAAATCTAAGATTTTTTTTCCAATTGTCATTTTATACCAATCTGTCTTGTCCACAGAATTGATCTGGGAATTTAACTATATTCTCTCTTCTTATTGTTATCTTTTAAAAAAAAAGCTTCAGTTTAAAATTACTTTTAGGACGTTTGTAAAAGCTGCAAAGCACAGTAAGTTGTGGAGAACCATGATCGCTCACATCCTAAAGGGTTATGCCGCATACAAGGAGAACGTACAAATGTAACTGTTTCAGAAAATCAGTCTTCAATGACGAGTAACATTAAAACTGCAGTTTGAATCTGCATGTCTCTAATTTGGAACAAGCAACATTTAGCGCGTTCACAGTGAAAGAATCGCGCTATCCCTGTCGGCATCTCACGCCATCTGTTAACAGGACCAGCGTGGAATCCTATGCGCCGTCGTAGCCAACCTTGCAAGACGGAGGTTTCGAAAACTGTCTACCCTTCGCCTAGCCCCTTTTTTTTGTTTTAACTCTTCCTTTTTCGGCCCTTTCTTCTTCATCATTCTACGGCTTTCACTCTGCACCGCGTCTACCAGCTTTTTAGTACCGATTTTCGACGCTCTTTGCAAAATGCAAGATGGATTCAACAGAGATATAAGCCAAAGTAAAAAAAAAAAAAAAAAAAGAAAATTCCTACCACCACCGCCACCAATAATAAAAATAGGCCAAAAGTGAATGAAAAGATGAGAGAATGGAGATCTTTACAAACAATACATTGATTTTAGGACCGAATCTGAATCTGCAGTCGCCTTATTCAATCCTTCCTTGACGCATTGGATGTTGTCAAACGGACGAGCTAATACGCATCCCAAAAGCTAGACAGAGTATTACGAGACAGGAGGATTACTTTGGTAACAAAGAAAAGAGTATTGAGCTACTACGTGCCATCTGCCCTCCTTTACGGCAGCGAATGTTGGACGGTCTCCTCAAAGATGAAGAAGAGACTCCAGGCAACGGATGTATGGTTCTACAGAAGGATTCTAAGGATATCATGGACAGAACGTGTGAGCAACGATGAAGTTTTGGAGACGATGCAAACAAGGAGGAAGCTTATATTTAACATCAGGAAGAGGCAGCTGAAGTTTCTGGGACACATAATGAGGAAGGAGGGCCTGGAGAATCTGATACTCACGAGTCGTATAGAGGGAAAAAGAGACAAGGGAAAACAACGCGTCATTCTCAGATGATTAGTAAACAAGAAGGATGCTAAGGATATTATGGATCGAGCGTGTGAGCAACGATGAGGTCTTACAGGAAGCAAGGAGGCTTATGCTTAACATCAGGAAGAAGCAGCTGAAGTTTCTGGGACACATAATGAGGAAAGAGGGCCTGGAGAATCTGATACTCATGAATCGAATAGAGGGAATGAGAGACCAGGGAAAGCAATGCATGACATACCCTGCAGGTTTAAGCAAGTGGGTAACAGAACACGGCCTGGGGGGGAAGAAGCAAA